ACGGCCAGGCTCTGCCCTCCACCATCCCAGGCAGGCCCCCGCCCCGCCCCAGGTCGCTCACTGTTCCCACCTGGCCCAGGGGAGGGGAGTGGGCACCCCAGGTGTGCCTGGGACGGCCTGGTGTCCCCAAAGTCCTTGATAACAGCCCTCTTCATCCTCAAAAGCTCCTACCTGGGTTCATCACAATGACTTTAAAAAGAATGTAGAAGCTGTGTAACAACAACAGAAAGTCTCAGTGACAGACACCGTTATTTACTTTTGAACAACTGATGAACAGCAATTGGAGAACCGTGGCTTCCCCCGCCCAAGCTGGGGCTTGTTAGAGTGGGACCACCCACAGCTGAGTGGACACGGTGGAATACTACCTGGGCGTCAAAAAGGACGCAGCCCCGATTCAGGCTGCGGCTCGGACCACACTCGACAACGTCACCGCACGATTCCGTTGGCACAGAGTGGACAGAACACGGCGGTGGGTGGGGGCAGATGGGGGGTCACAGCTAACCAGCACAGAGGACATCACCGCACGATTCCGTTGGCACAGAGTGGACAGAACACGGCGGTGGGTGGGGGCAGATGGGGGGTCACAGCTAACCAGCGCAGAGTGCTTCTCTCTCTCCACTGAACACCGTCTGGGCCTTCGATGGTGCGGAGGTGGCCTTGACCTTGGGATCCTCCTGCCTCCGCCTCCCCCGTGGCTGGGTGGCAGGCGTGGGCCACCACAGCGGCCAGCGGGCTGATAGACATGCTCCTGGGGACTCTGACCCCCCCCAGGCACTCATTGCTCTTACCCGGGACCCACAGAGGGCCTTCAGCCTGCACCAGTGCAAACTAGTCACGGCCCCGTGCGGTGCTGGTGGCCCGCTCCTGGGACCCAGTGACTCGATGTAGAAGGGTCTAGGGCTGAGCTGGGGACAGAGAAGTGACAGGCGGGCACAGCCCGGCTCCGCCCACCGTTCCCGACAGAGAACACGGGAGCGTCTCCAGGTGCCAGGTCCCTGCCGGCTGCCCCTGGGCACAGGTGAGCCCCTGCCCTCTGGCACCTGGGGTGAGGCCAAGCTCGCGGGTCCTCGCGCCCCTGAGGCGGACCAGTCTTTCCCAACTGGCTTCACGTGCCTGGAGCCACCGTGGGCGGGGAGGCCGGGCCAGCCGCTTAGCCCAGCCAGAAGGACGCCCTTGACACCCAGGAGACCGGCCACCTGCCGGTGACTCACTGATTTCCCCACAGGATGGCCTGCGGGCCCCTGGACGGGGACCACGCTGGAGGTCCAGGCTTCCGGGGACCAGGCACAGATGCACAGGGCCACCCAGACACCGGCAGACACCCCTCATCTGGGAAGACACCCGCCCCCCTCCGACCCGTGGGGACGCCCRGCCGGCACGTGCCACCTGCGTGCGCCCCACCTGCTCCCTGATCAGACGACCCGACGGAGGCTTGAGACAGAGGAGGCTCCCCACTCCACAGGGAGGACAGGAGAGAGGACCAGGTCGGAGCAGGTCAGCCGCCAAGAGGGCTGTCCCTGGACGGTGCTCCCTGTCATCTCCCTCGCCAGGCTGCAGCCCGCAGAGCCCATGCCACCGTGGCGGTGGCGCGGATGTCACTGGCTGGGCTCCGAGGGCTGTGCTGTCCAGGGTCAGGGTTCCTGGGCAGAAGCACGAGGCCTAGCCCACAATGTCCCTCCTGGAGGTCACGGCTTAGAACCGACTTCATTTCCTTATTTAGATGCTTTTTAATATCGACCTCCAGGTGCAGGTGGACACAGCACAATGCCCTCCTTTTCCTGGGCCAGGGCAGGCTCCACCGCTGAGCCGCCGTCAGCCCCTGAGGAGAGGACTATAGGAAGCCTCTGTGCCTGTGACCCCAGTGGCTCGGAGGCCGAGGCAGGAGGATCGTGTTCTGGCCTCCACCCTCTGCTCTGTGCCTGGAACCGTCCCACAGGACACCCACCCTCCCAGGAAGCGGCTGCCAAGTGCCCCCACTTCCTGTTTCCAGAATGTCCCCATTGGGGATGGCGAAGTCTCCAGGTTCCAGAGGGTCTTCACCCTCCAGGGCACGCGTCGGGAGAAACCGAGACCCTCGGGCGGAGGAGGAGACCCGGCAGGTGGGACTCCCGCTGCGGCCCGTGGTCACTCGCCCCGAGATCACCCGTCAGGGACTGTGCCAGCTGCCACTCCCCAGAGGGAAGGGAGAGGCCATGACCCCCTCGGAGAGGGAGAGACGCCATCAGACGCCCCAGTGACYGCTCGCCCTGACGGCCGTGAGGCACTCTGCGTGGACACCCAGGCCATCTCCCAGGACGAAGGACGCGTGGACGGCGAGGAGCCTCCAGCCGGCTACCACTCACGGTGTCCCTGCGGTGTTCCTGCGTCCCCCCCCGGGGCTTCTGGCCTTGGGAGTCCCTCCCCGTCCCCCACCAGCTGCCCAGTCCCCGCTGTAACTGAAGCCGGGCGTCAGGCCAACCCAGGGCCACGCTGAGCCAGGAGAGTGGGTGACCTGGGCCTGGGGTCCTCCTGCCGGGCTCCCGGGTCACCCCAGCACAGTGCGGGGCCTTCTGGAAAAGGCCGAGCTGCAGACGGCGAGGTCACCGGTGGCCGGGAACCTGAGAAGGGGACGGATGGCAGAGTGGAGGGTTTTCAGGGCTGGGAGCATGTCACACCCACAGGACACACACCCAGGCTCAAGCCTAAGGCCAGCCACGGGCTTCAGATGGGCGGACAGTATGTGACCTAGACTGTCACTTCTGGGTGACCTGTGACGGCCACATGTCCATGCAGGGCCAGCAGCTGTAGAGGAAAAGCCGTGGGGCTGTGGGTACCACGCACAGGCCTGGGTCCCCCCACACCACAAAGGGGGCGAGTCCTTAGATGGGGGACACCTTCCTGGACTGAGGGACCCGGCCGGGCTGCTCCTTGGGCTGTGAACCGTTTGTGTCTTTTAAATTGCTCTCAATCTCGCTCCTTTAAAATTCTGACATTAAATAAAACCCTGAACCCGCTCCCGCCCTCCCGCCCTCGCTGGATCCTTCCAGATTCCCTGGGTCCCTCCTGTCACCCCTGAGGCCTGGGAAGGCCACGCCAGGCTCCCTCTGTGCGGACGGACGGAGGCTGCGAGGCCACGGTCATAGAGTTGAGCCTCGGGCGGACGGGAGCCGTTGTCCCAGAGAAAGCATTTTCCTGGCCGTCTGCAGGGGTGACAGGTGACGGCCACTTGTGGATGAAAAGGCAGAATTCTTCTATGAGGTCCCAGTGGGTAAGCTGACTGTGACCCGGGTTTGCATGGGACTGACCCTAAGGTCCCCAATAAACGGTGGCAGGACGGGGGGCATTTTGATCCCCCAGATCCATAACTCATCAAGGACCCTGAGCGACGACCTGTCGGGACCTCGCACTCAGGCCCAGGACCCCCRGGGCCCGAGGCAGCTCCTGATCTGAGACGGCGCCTGGTGTGCGTCGGCCTGAGGTCACCCGGGCACCGTCGGGGGAACAGCCGACTCTGCGAGCCCCGAATTCCATCCGACCCAGCACACGGGGCCCGGGGAGCAGCCCTTCTCGGGAACCGTGAGTCGGGGTCTCGATGACGACTGAGCCACACCCAGATGCCATCATTTCCCTGCCCCTTCCAGAATGACTCTACTCAGGTAGGAAAGGGAGTGGGGGTGGTGGCCACGGGCTGGCCGGTCCAGGGCTGGCCGGTCCAGGGCCCGCCTCCAGGCCTCACCACCCGGATCGACTGACAAAGCGTCTTCTGTTCAGGGCTGGAGGCGGACGGCTCTCCGTGTGCATTTCATTAAACCCGGAGCCGTGGCTGGCTGCCATCATGACGCTGTGGGCTCCCGTGGCCCACGTCCAGCCGGACGCGCTGGCACCCGGCCCCCACCCCCTCCTGACGGCGCGGGACACTCAGCCAGTCTCCAGTGTGGTCCCGAGGACTTTTCTGCCGTCACAGAGCACACAAGGGCTCTCTGTGGCAGCCCCTGGAGACCCACAGGCACTTTCCTTCCCAGAGGGACTGATGACAGCTCACGGAACGAACCAGAAACTTGATTTTATTGAAAGCCGAGAACACCAGAAGCAACGTGCAGGGCCAGGCTCACTGAGAAGAGCGTCGCGGGTCCTGCATGCTCAGAACTTCACACACACAGCCACGGCCACRCTCTGACTGTCCACCGAGGCCCATGTCCCTTCAGGCCTTGGTCTGTTCTACGTGTGTCAGTCCCAGGAGGGGACCCGGGGCCTGAGAAATGACCCAGCTCTGCCTCAAGGTGTGCACCACAGGGAAGACACAGAGGCCCACTCTGACCTGCCGCTCCAACCACATCCCCCAACGTGAGAAATGACGTCCACATCCCGGGCCCGAGGTCTCGGCACCGGGCCTGTGCGACGTGGCCTTCCTGCACGTCAGCCACCCCACGGGGAACCCCAAAGGGGGCCCAAACCACAGGAAGCCCGTGTAGACAGTGGATAAGACRACCCCCTTCTTTGTCTGTTTATCAGAAAAAGGTGGTTCGCGCCTTGGTCCCAGCACCCGGAGGTGAGGCAGGACGTGAGCCCAGCGGTTCAAGGCCAGCCTGGGCCACCCAGGGACACCCCGTCTCAGATACAGAACCGGAGCACCCCTCTGGAAATCACGCCCATCACAGTCACAGAAAACGGTTCTGTAAGCCTCCTTCAAGATGAGGTCCAACCAGGCCCCATGGCGCACACCTGCATCCCAGGGGCTCGGGAGGCTGGGGCAGGAGGATCSTGAGCTCAAGGCCAGCCTCAGCAAAAGTGAGGCGCTGAGCCACTCAGTGGGACCCTGTCTCTACATACAATAGAAAGTAGGGCTGGGGTGGGGCTCAGTGGTCAGTGCCCCTGGGCGCAACCCCCAGTGCCCTCCCCACAAACGTCAGGTTCAGAGCGTGGAAGGTCCAGGGAGGCTGAAAACCACCACGACAGTCACTCCCGGGGACCTCCCACGACTGTGCGCAGGATCTGCACCCAGACACGGCACGGCAGGGCAGGAAAGCCTCGTTTTTCTTTTATTTTGCATCTGGGGCCTCGCGGTGTGCCTGGTGGGCGCCAATGGCCTTTCCTTGCACTTAACAACAACAACAAAAAAAAACCCAGGGATTAAAGTGAGTTGATGGCAAGGAGTCTGCGATCACGGAACCTAAAAGCCAAGCCCATGAAGTCGTAAGGCAAGATCCTGTCCTGGGGAGGGGAGGCCCTGGGCACTGGGCACGCAGCGGGCAGGACAGTCTCTCAGGTAAGGCAGGCGGGGCTTCGGAGTCGGAGCCACCACCAGAAAGGCCACTGAGGCAGGAGGAGGAGCCAGCCGGTGGCAGGTCGCCCAGGGACGGCGGGCGGCCACAGCCCTCCGGGCCGACCTGGGGTCGCGGGCTCCCTGGGACGGCCAGCTCCAGGTCACCGTCTTTGCCTGTCCTGGGCGGACTCCAAGCAGCAGTTTATGGGTCTRGAGATCTGGACTTTGTGATGTTTTCCCCCCAAAAGAAGAATCAAAGGTGGACTCGCGGAGAGGAGGCCGGGCGGCCTCTCCCGGGGTGGCCTCCTGCAGCGCGGCGCCCGCTCTCCAGGGTGCCCGAGTCCTACAAGCGCTTGTAGGTGCCCAGGAGGGCTTTGCAGTTGGGACAGTAGTGGTCCACGTCCTGCAGGGCGTCCACGCAGAAGGGGATGAAGCAGCAGCCGGCCACGCACCTGGGGAGACAAAAGGAGCCACACGTCAGCAGCCGCGGCAGGTGGGGTGGGGCCCGGTGTCCTGACACCTGGGAACCTGGGGGCACTAGGAAAGGGCATTTGAAATGGGGTCATCCGAATGGGCCCTCAAACCCGGTGACGGGTGTCCTCGGAAGAGGAAAGGCTAAGCGGCGCGGTGGCACTCCTGCAAGCCCAGACTCGGGAGGCTGAGGCAGGAGGATCGCCAGTTCAAGGCCAGCCTCAGCAATTCAGCAGAGAAGAAAGGCCAAGAGACACAAAGGCCCGGCTCCAACAGCGGAGGCCAAGCCTGGAGTGCAGCAGCCACAGCCAGAAGCACCTGGGCCACCGGAAACGGGGGGCGGYGAGGACAGCTCTTCCCCAAGAGTGGCTGGAGCCAGCGTGCCCTGCTGCCATCTTGACTCTGGGCTTTTGGCCTCCGGGATCGTGAGAGAGCAGTTTAAGGGTCTGTGGGGGTCAGGAGACTCCGACACCAAGCCTCACCACACCTCCCCGGGGCCAATTTCCAAACCTGGGAGCATTCAGCGTCTTTCAGGATCTCAGATGGGAGGTCGGGGTCTGTTTCTGTTTTTGTAAAAAGCACACAGCGGGTGTTGGGGACTCTTCTGTTCATGGTACCAGGGCTCGAGCCCCGGGTGCTCTGCCACTGAGCCACATCCAGCCCTCTCTATTTTATTTTGAGGCAGCGTCTTGCTAAGTTACTGAGGCTRGCCTCAAACATGTGATCCTCCTGCCTCAGCCTCCCAAGTCACTGGGACTACAGGCCTGCACGGTGACACCCGGAGACTCGACTCGGCTCTGAAGCAAGAAAACTGCCGAAGGGAGTCTCCGAACAAGTGAGGCTGGCTGCCTTCACTCAGCCCGTCTCCAGGCCCAGGTCCCATCCATCTCTTCACACAGCGACCAAACCGAGATCCCAACACCACCTCGCAGCCAGGTGACCCCAGGTGACCACGTCCACACACACAGCAGGACTCCTGCAGCCTTGGAACCAACCCGGTCACGGCCAATCACGAAAGACACACACTGTGATTCTGCTGCGGTGGTCAACGCGGTGGTCACATTTAGAGGCAGAGGATAGAAAGGCAGCTGCCAAGTCACCAAAAATGTCGATAAAACTCAGCCCCTGGCAGGAAGGCAGAGCCGGGTTCTAGAAACATTCCGAGGAGGAAACTGTCTTGTGAAAGACACTTCCTCTTTCCTCCCTGCCTCAGTACAAAGTTCAAATCCAGGCAGCCACACCACTTGGAGGTTACGCTACCACACATCCCAAGGCAAGCTCACAGATGGGGAAAGCCAGCACAGAGAGGCACAGTCACCTGCCCACTGTCACACAGCTGGTGTGAGGGGGTCTGGCCCTACTCTGCCACATTTAAGAAGACAGAGGGAGGAACAGAAAGTCGGTGTTGATCTCGAAAGCGAGATCACAGAGGCTGACTTGCAATCTTCATTTCTACTCTGTGTCTTCCTGTTTTTAAAGATGATATTTCAGAGGTCTTTTGTTTGTTTATTTTAGGGGTTTTGGCTTTGTTTGTGTGGGGACTGGTCCTGGGCTCAAGGGAGCCTTACCACACTGAGCTACACCCCTAGCCCTTTTAGTTTTTGGAGACAGGGTCTCTCTAAACTGTTGGAACCTCACTAAGTTGCTGAGGCTGGCCTCGACCTCCTGCCTCAGCCTCCAGTCCCTGGGATCCCAGGCCTGCACCACCGGGCAGTGCCCAGTGCCGGCAAAGTTTCATTTTATATAAACATCCCGGGGTAATGGACTTTGTAGCATTTTCTGTCTAGGGCGGGAAACCCACAGGCCATGGGAGAGCCGRTGGGCGGGCGGGGGATCAGATGGCCAGGGACAGGTTGGTCTCCCAGCAGGGCCTGACCTCAGGGAAGGGAGTAAGCTCTCTGGGGCTGCGAGCCCCTCTCTGAAATAGGAAGAGAAACACTGTTCCTTACTGCCCTGATGTCACAAGCACATGACGAGGACGTGGCAGTTGCCCAAGAGCAGAGGGCTCCTGAGAGCCACTCCTGACCCCTCTCCTTCAAGGGAAACTCGGCGGTGGTTTCCCAAGAGCCCCGAGGCCGGGAAGAGGCCCGGAACCTGCTGGGTGGGGTTCAGGTGTTCCCTCCAATCCCCCTCCAAGAGCAGACCCTAGGGTTAGTGCTGGGACCCTTAGCGCTTCTCAGAGTCAGCAAACCCGCTGTCAGGTGGGTCTGAAGTTCTAGAAGAATCAGAGATCCTAAGGGCCTCGCCCTGCGCACATGTGAGCGCTGCTGGGTCCCTCTGCAGGAGGGGCGGACGCTCAGGAGCCTGGGGACCCCAGTGGGTCCCTCTGCAGGAGGGGCGGACGCTCAGGAGCCCGTGGGTCCTAGTGGGTCCCTCTGCAGGAGGGGCGGAC